GATTGGGTTGTTTGTTTTTTTAATATCGAGCTGCATGAGCTGTTTATATATTTTGGAGATTAATCCTTTGTCTGTTGATTCATTTGCAAATATTTTCTCCCATTCTGAGGGTTGTCTTTTTGTCTTGTTTATGGTTTCCTTTGCTGTGCAAAAGCTTTGAAGTTTCATTAGTTCCCATTTTTTCATTTTTGTTTTTATTTCCATTTCTCTAGGAGGTGGCTCAAAAAAGATCTTGCTGTGATTTATGTCAAAGAATGTTCTTCCTATGTTTTCCTCTAAGAGTTTTATAGGTTTGGTCTTACATTTAGGTCTCTAATCCATTTTGAGTTTATTTTTGTGTATGGTGTTAGGGAGTGCTCTAATTTCATTCTTTTACATGTAGCTGTCCAGTTTTCCCAGCCCAACTTATTGAAGAGACTGTCTTTTCTCTATTGTATATCCTTGCCTCTTTTGTCATAGATTAGTTGACCATAGGTGCGTGGGTTTATCTCTGGGCTTTCTATCTTGTTCCATTGATCTATGTTTCTGTTTTTGTGCCAGTACCATATTGTCTTGATTACTGTAGCTTTGTAGTATAGTCTGAAGTCAGGGAGTCTGATTCCTACCACTGTGTTTTTTTCCCTCAAGACTGCTTTGGTTATTCGGGGTCTTTTGTGTCTCCATAGAAATTTTAAGATTTTTTGTTCTAGTTGTCTAAAAAATGCCATTGGTAATTTGATAGGGATTGCATTGAATCTGTAGTTTACTTTGGGTAGTATAGTCATTTCCACAATATTGATTCTTCCAATCCAAGAACATGGTATATCTCTCCATCTGTTGGTATCACCTTTAATTTCTTTCATCAGTGTCTTATAGTTTTCTGCATGCAGGTCTTTTGTCTCCCTAGGTAGGTTTAGTCCTAGGTATTTTATTCTTTTTGTTGCAATGGTATATGGGAGTGTTTTCTTCATTTAACTTTCAGATTTTTCATCATTAGTGTATAGGAATGCAAGATATTTCTGTGCATTAATTTTGTATCCTGCCAACTTTACAAAATTCATTGGTTAGCTCTAGTAGTTTTCTGGTGGCATCTTTAGGTTTCTCTATGTATAGTATCGTGTCATCTTCAAACAGTGACAGTTTTACTCCTTCTTTTCCAATTTGTATTCCTTTTATTTCATTTTCTTCTCTGATTGCTGAAGCTAGGACTTCCAAAGCTACGTTGAATAATAGCGGTGAGAGTGGACATCCTTGTCTTGTTCCTGATATTAGAGGAAATGCCTTCAGTTTTTTTATCATTAAGAGTGATGTTTGCTGTGGGTTTGTCATAAATGCCCTTTATTATGTTGAGGGAGGTTCCCTCTATGCCCACTTTCTGGAGAGTTTTTATCATAAATGGGTGATGAATTTTGTCAAAAGCTTTTTCTGCATCTATTGAGATGACCATATGGTTTTTCTTCTTCAATTTGTTAATATGGTGTATCACACTGGTTGATTTTCATATATTGAAAAATTCTTGCATCCCTGGGATAAATCCCACTTGATCATGGTGTATGATCCTTTTAATGTGTTGTTGGATTCTGTTTGCTAGTATTTTATTGAGGATTTTTGCATCTATATTCATCAGTAATATCAGTAATTTTCTTTTTTTTGTAGTATCTTTGTCTGATTTTGGAATTAGAGTGATGGTGGCCTCATAGAATGAGTTTGGGAGTGTTCCTTCCTCTGAAAATTTTTGGAAGAGTTTGAGAAGAATGGGTGTTTAGCTCTTCTCTAAATGTTTGATGGAATTCATCTGTGAAGCCATCTGGTCCTGGACTTTTGTTTCTTGGAAGACTTCTAATCACAGTTTCAATTTCATTGTTTGTGATTGGTCTGTTCATATTTTCTATTTCTTCCTGATTCAGTCTTGGAAGGTTATATCTTTCTAAGAATTTGTCCATTTCTTCCAGGTTGTCCATTTTATTGGCATAGAGTTGCTTATAGTAGTCTCTTAGGATGCTTTGTATTTCTGCGGTGTCTGTTGTAACTTCTCCTCTTTCATTCTAATTTTATTGATTTGAGTCCCCTCTCTCTTTTTCTTGATAAGTCTGGCTAATGGTTTATCAATTTTGTTTAACTTCTCAAAGAACCAGCTTTTAGTTTTATTGATCTTTGCTATTGTTTTCTTTGTTTCTAATCATTTATTTCTGCTCTGATCTTTATGATTTCTTTCCTTCTGCTAACTTTGGGTTTTGTTTGTTCTTCTTTCTCTAGTTCCTTTATGTGTAAGGTTAGATTATTTTTTGAGATTTTTCTTGTTTCTTGAGGTACACTTGTATAGCTATGAACTTCCCTCTTAGAACTGCTTTTTCTGCAACCCATAGGTTTTGGATTGTCGTGTTTTCATTGTCATTTGTCTCCAGGTATTTTTTTATTTCCTCTTTGATTTCTTCAGTGATCTCTTGGTCATTTAGTAACATAGTGTTTAGCCTCCATGTGTTTGTGTTTTTAACGTTTTTTCCCCTGTAATTCATTTCTAATCTCATAGCATTGTGGTCAGAAACTTAATATGATTTCAATTTTCTTAAATTTACTGAGGCTTGATTTGTGACCCAAGATGTGATCTATCCTGGAGAACATTCCATGCTCACTTGGCAAGAAAGTGTAATCTGCTGTTTTTGGATGGAATGTACTGTAAGGATCAATTAAATCTATCTGGTCTGTTGTGTCATTTAAAGCTTCTGTTTCCTTATTTATTTTCATTTTGGATAATCTCTCCATTGGTGTAAGTGAGGTGTTAAAGTCCCCCACTAGCACTGTGTTACTGTCGATTTCCTCTTTTACAGCTGTTAGCAGTTTCCTTATGTATTGAGGTGCTCCTCTGTTGGGTGCATATATATTTATAATTGTTATATCTCCTTCCTGGATTGATCCCTTGATCATTATGTAGTGTCCTTCCTTGTCTCTTGTAACATTCTTTATTTTAAAGTCTATTTTGTCCGCTATGAGAATTGCTACTCCAGCTTTCTTTTGATTTCCATTTGCATGGAATATCTTTTTCCATCCCCTAACTTTCAGTCTGTATGTGTCCCTGGGTCTGAAGTCGGTCTCTTGTAGACAGCATATATATAGGTCTTGTTTTTGTATCCATTCAGCAAGCCTGTGTCTTTTGGTTGGAGCATTTAATCCATTCACGTTTAAGTAATTATCGATATGTATGTTCCTATGACCATTTTCTTAATTGTTTCAGGTTTGTTTTTGCAGGTCCTTTTCTTCTTTTGTGTTTCCCACTTAGAGAAGTTCCTTTAGCATTTGTTGTAGAGTTGGTTTGGTGATGCTGAATTCTCTTAGCTTTTGCTTGTCTGTAAAGCTTTTTATTTCTCCATCGAATCTGAATGAGATCCTTGGCGGGTAGAGTAATCTTGGTTGTAGATTTTTCCCTTTCATCACTTTAAATATATCATGCCACTCCCTTCTGGCTTGTAGAGTTTCTGCTGAGAAATCAGCTGTTAACCTTATGGGAATTCCCTTGCATGTTATTTGTTGTTTTTCCCTTGCTGCTTTCAATAATTTTTTTGTTTTTAATTTTGCCAATTTGATTACTATGTGTCTCAGTGTGTTTCTCCTTGTGTTTATCCTGTATGGGACTCTCCATGCTTCCTGGACTTGGGTGGCTATTTCCTTTTCTATGTTAAGAAAATTTTCCACTATAATCTCTTCAATTATTTTCTTGGGTCCTCTCTCTCTCTCTTCTCCTTCTACAACCCCTAAAATGCAAATGTTGTTGCATTTAATGTTGTCCCAGAGGTCTATTAGGCTGTCTTCATTTCTTTTCATTCTTTTTTCTTTATTTTGTTCTGCAGCAGTGAATTACACCATTGTGTCTTCCAGATCACTTATCCATTCTTCTGCCTCAGTTTTTCTGCTGTTGATTCCTTCTAGTGTAGTTTTCATTTCAGTTATTGTATAGTTTATCTCTGTTTGTTTGTTCTCTAATTCTTCTAGGTCTTTGTTAAACATTTCTTGCATCTTCTTGATCTTTGCCTCCATTCTTTTTACGAGGTCGTGGATCATATTCACTATCATTATTCTGAATTCTTTTTCTGGAAGGTTGCCTATCTCCGCTTCATTTAGTTGTTTTTCTGGGGTTTTATCTTGTTCCTTCATCTGCCTTTTTATCTTGTCTCTCTTTCTGTGAATGTAGTTTTTGTTCCACAAGCTGCAGGATTGTAGTTCTTCTTTCTTCTGCTGTCTGTCCTCTGGTGGATAAGCCTATCTAAGAGGCTTGCACACGTTTCCTGCTGGGAGGGACTGGTGGTGGGTAGAGCTGAGTCTTGAAATTCTTTAAGTTGCAATAATATTATCTTTTTTATTATAAGACATAAAAGATCTTGTGAAGAATATGGGGACTTTAAGTCTGGTTTAAAATAGGGCTTGACATATATAACTTAAATCCAACAGTCTGATGAACCTATGCATCTGATTTGTGCATACCCACAAAAATATTAAACAGGTTATTAGTTAGAAAGTCATAGAAACAGAAGATAGAGATGATGATGAGTATTAGTCTAAGTGTAAAGGGAATTAACTTAAAGTGTTAATAAACACCTATAGGAAGATGAAATAATAGTAACAAGGATTTTATTCTTTTCATTCATTTAAGTGAGTAAAATAACACACTAGGTAAGTATTTTATATAGTTTTACGAAAATAAAGAATGCAAAAGTAATGTTAGGTTTATACTATTAACTTTTCAAGAGAAATTTTGCTTCAACATAAGACTAATTGTTAGTTTATTTAGTGATCTGCCCTTATGATTTTAAGATATATATGTCTCTCCTGAAGTCAAAGCACATTGTTATGGTGAAATAGATTATTTTAAAACTAACTTCTATCCAATAGAATCTAAAGAGAGGAAGTTTACTGAGGGACTACTTAAAGTATAGATTAGGAAAATGTCATTTGCACTTTTGTCATTAAGAATCAGAGAGATCAAACTCTCTCAGATATGCTTTGAATGATAATTAAAAGGCAGTCAGGTGCTCACTTCAACAGCAGATATCCTAAAACTGGAATGATGCAGAGAAGATTAGCATGGCACCTGCACAAGGATGACAAGCAAATTTGTGAAGTGTTCCATATTTTTGAAATCAGAAAGAAAAAAAGCAGTCAGTAAAATATTCTTGATAAGGGGAGTGAAGACAGCCAATTGCAATTTTAAAATCAAGATTTCTCAACTTCAGAATAATTGATTTTGTGGATGTATAATTCTTCATTGTTGGGGGGAGAAGAGCTGCCCTGTGCATTTTAGGATGTTAAGCAACATCCCTGGTTTCTCCTCACTAGATGATAGTAGCACCCTTAATTGTGACAACCAAAAGTATCTCCAGGCTTTACCAAATGTCTCCTAGGACACAAAGTCTTTCTCATTTAAAAACCACAGCTTTAGGTTGACAATTTGCAGCCTTTAGGTATGGAATTTATTTAGGTAGCTCAAAATAATGACAAGGAATAACATCAGATGTAAACTCCTTGAGGGTGCAGACTATCATTTTATCATGACTTCTTAGTACGGCTCTTGTAAAAAAAGAGGCAACTAATAAAGGAGGAAAATTACAAAATCAAGCTTAAGGAGAATTGCAAAGAATTCTAATTTACATCAGTAAATATCTGGGGCATAGTTGTGAAAATGGATTAAAAGGATGCTAAACAAATTAGGAAAAAGCATTAGTTCAGGGTGAATTTTACATGTAGGAACACTTATCAGAGATTCCATGCACAATTTTAAACAGTTAAAATTAGTTTTAATTTACTTAGTCTATTGACTAAAACCTTGATTCAAAGCTAGTACTAGCTGAAGATGACAATATGATACACCAGGAATATCTCCCTACTTAGAAAAAAAATTGCACTGTCAGATGTAACTATTTTGAAACTCTAGAGCTGCTGAAGGCTTGCAACTTCCAGGGAAAAACTTGGATAGTAAGTTGTAGTTAATTTCAGTCAATTTTAGCTCTTATTACAGTAGAAGCTACCCTTCACCTCAACCACCACCCCAAGCCACGTGGCAGGCAACGCACATACAAAAATCAGGAAAGTATGACCTACTCAAAGGAAAAAGAATAATCTACAGAAACTGTCTCTGAAAGACCTAATGGCTGATATACTAGACAAATACTTTAAAACAATTATTTTAAAGATGTTCAAAGAACTAAAGGAATATGTAGAGGAAGTCAAGAAAATGATGTTTGAACAAAATAGAAATATCAATAAAGAGAAAATCTAAAAATAAACCAAAAAATGCTGAAAAGTACAATAACCAAAATGAAAAATTCACTAGAGGGATTCAAAGGCAGATTTGAGCAGACAGAAGAATCAGCAAACTTGACAATGGAAATTATCAAGGCTGAGGAACAGTAAGAAAAATGGTGAGGAAATCCAACAGAGCCTAAGGGACCTGTGGGATGCCATCACATATGCACCATGGGAGTCCCAAAAAGAGAAGGGAGGAAGAGAATAAAGGATAAGGAGAATATTTGAAGAAACAATGGCTGAAAACTTCACAAATTTGATGATAGATGTGAATATAAACATCCAAGAAGCTCAATGAACTTTAAGATGAACTAAAAGACCCATACTGAGAAACATAATAAAAATTTTAAAAGCCAAATACAAAGACAGAACCTTAAAAGCAGCAGAACAAAAATGAATCATCACACACAAGGGATATTTATTAAGAATATCAGTAGATTTCTCATCAGAAACTTTGGAGGCCAGAAGACAGTGGGTCAATATAGTCAAAGAACTAAAAGAAAAAAAACCTGTCAATCAAGAATCCTATATCCAGCAAAACTGTCCTTTAAAATTGAGAGAGAAATTAAGACATTCCCAGATAAAAGCTGAAGGAGTTTGTGACCACTAGACTGTCCTGCAAGAAATGTTGAAGGGAATCATTCAGAGAAAAATGAAAAGACACTGGACAATGACTTGGAGCTGTATGGAGAAATAAAGGTAAATACATGGGAAGTTATAGTTATCATTACTGTAACTTTTGTTACTATATCTGAATCCTGTTTTACATAATTTAAGAGACTGATACATTTAAAAGGATTATTAGTTTATGTGATAGGGCACACAATATATAAATATGCAATTTTGTGACATCAACAACAAAAAGAGGTGGGGATGGAGCTGTAAAGAAGCAGAATTTTTGTATGTTATTGAAGTTAAGCTGGTATAAATTCAACTTAGAGTGTTATAACTTCAAGACGTTAAATGAAATCTCCATGGTAACCACCAAAAAAATAGCCATAGAATATACACAAAAGGAAAGGAGAAAGAAATTTCTCCCTAACAGTAATTGCTTTAAATGTAAATGAATTAAACTCTCCAATCAAAAGAAAGAGATTGGTAGGGTAGATAAAAATGCATGATCCAACTGTATGCTGTCTACAAAAGACTCACTGGCAATCCAAAGTTTTATAGGTACCCATGGCTTACAGTGCTATCCCTTCAAGCTATGCTCACAGGTTGTTAAAAATAATAAGTGGCAGGCTAGATTTGACCTGCAGGTTGTAGTTTGCCAACCTCTAGTCTATATGACTAAAGCATGTAAAGATTTCCCCTTTAAAGTTAAGAAGTTGCTACTGTGCCATTAATCACCATAGTAATCCATGAGTTTCTTTGCATTTTGGAGGCAAGGTGTATTACACTGAGGTATAAATATAATATTTTTACCTTTAGCCTGAAATGCTGGTTTTGACTGGGTCCATAGAAAGAAAAAGTGGTTCAGACGACAATGGATGCAGTTCTGCCACTCACCTGACACAGAGATTTCAGTGGCTCTCATGGTGTTTCTAGCAGATTAAAAGACCATGTGAAGAATATGGCATAGTGGAGGGTCTTAGGATTTCAGAGCACAGCCTTAAATTCTTTAGCAAGTATCTGCTTTCGAAAAACTTTAACCTGGTATACATTGAATACTAACTATATGACTATGTAATCCAAAGTGCCCATCATGAACTGGATGCTCTGTAATCTACATAGACATAAAGTCAAACATTCCAAGATGTACTTCGCCAACAAGTAGAAGTAAAAAAAATGAGGTTGGAGCTGAACTGATTCTGTAGAAACAAATATATGCATGAGTCAGTTGCTTAAATTTCTTGCCTTTCTATATCTGCTTTGCCAGCCCTTATTGAACACAACTTATGGTTTCATGGGGGCATTCTCTATGATGAGAATGAAGTGAAGATGGAATAATTCATTTGGCTTATTTTACAAATATATTTCTGTGGTATTCTGGCACCAGCTGAAAATGGTCTGTGGATACATTAGAGCCCCATTAAATTATGATCATAGTAAATAATGAAGAAGTGATATTTCACCTGTATAAAAAATCAGGTGAAGTATCTCTTTTTTCTCTTATAGTGGAAGGAGATATGATGGTCTAAATCAAGGATACATATAAATCTTAAGTCTGTGACTCATGAACTTTTAGGAAGAGATATGGAGATAAAACTCCTAGAATCATCTTATAATATGGCCCATGTGAATGCCCACCAAAAAGCTCACACTTGTTGACAAATTCTGTAGATATCCTTGAGCCCCATTTCTCAGTCATTGACAGTGGGTTCATGGCACAGTAGCAGAAGTTCATGCATTGCAGTCTGGACTACATAGACCTCCTCTAGCTCTGGATCCAATAAAAATGATAGCCTTTCAGCTCAAAGGTAAAGTATTATACTTTATGTATTATACATTGCCTCCAAATGCAAAGAAATCTATTATTGTGTCTCGTAGAAACAGAGGACCTTGATGAAAAGGGTCATATTCTTAAGGATAAGTGATTTGCATGGACTAAAGTAAAAGGACTTGCTTTCACTAAGGTTGACTCAACTACTGCCATCACCGACTTCTCATTTTGCAAACAGCAGCAACCTGCCATGAATTCCCATTATGTTAAGTTAGCTAGTTAGTTACCCGGTGGCTGGTTGATTGTAATGGAATGCTTTCTTCTTGGGTGCAAGTACCTATTCCAATTTGTTCTCATTAGAAGATATTTATTCTAAATGAAGTTTGCTCCTCCTGTTTACCATACTTCTTCCAGCACCATTATCAGCGGACCTACTAATGCTTTGTATGCCATCATCATATCCTGTACCAAATGTATTCTCCTCGCTTTACAATGAAAGATTCAAGACCTGGAGCTAATGCCCATAAATTCACTGTTCTTATGAAGACTCCGTTTCCCATAAGCAGCTGGCCTTACAGAATGGTTGAGTGCTTTGTAAAAGACTCATTTACCTCACCATCTGGGGACCGTGTGAGGTTGAGATGCTGTCCTGCAGGAAAGGATATATGTTCTGAACCAGTGGTTCTGTTTCTTCTGTAGCTGTAACACAAGAGTCTGAGAATTAAAAGGTAGACTTGGGGAGAATTTCTCATATCATACCAAATAAATCACTCACAAAATGTTTGTTTTTGCTTTCTGTTCCTAAAATTCTTTGCTCTTTTGCCTTATTTTTTCACCGAGTGACATAACCCAATGGCTCTATTGAACTGGAAAATAAAACTGCTAACTTATCATTTGGGAATTTTCACACCATTGACTGAATAGGCAAAAGCAGATTTAATTTATCCTTACTATCAGGAAGAGATGAGATTGTTGCTACTCAGTGGGGGCTGGAAGGACTGTGGATGGAACACAGGTCATTCTCTGGGGATACTTCCTTTTACTGCCATGTCTGGTAGTAAAAGTTGAAGACTACTACAAGAGGCTTAGATCCCTAACCAACTGAAATGTATATCAAGGATAGAGGAACCTGGAATATAAAGTAGAAAAGGGAAGTCAAATATTCAGCTAATACCTATGACAAACTGTGGAAATGACAATTGTAGTCACTTCTTATGTGTATGTGTATATATATATACACACACACACACGTATGTGTATGTCTACATGCATATATAAACATGCAGATATATGTATATATTCATGTGTGTATGTACATAAGTTTATATACAACACATATGTGTATTTCATTGTTGTATATAAGGTACATATTGGGATATTTATTAACTAGTTGATATGATTGAATCAGCATCCTGATGGGACTAGAGGAGGAATAGACATCACTTTCAAAT